CTGGCACTTTGCCCCAAATTCATCAGGCGCTTCCCCATTGGTCCACTGGAGGGCAAATGTCACGGCTGTCTTTTCAGAGGAAGTTGCAAAGGAACTGACATCACAAACAGTTGTTGCTCTAGGATGCCATACTTGCTCTCCTTAGAGGCCTAGGCTCTCCCTTCTCCCTCCCATGAAATCACAAACATTTGCTGCTCTAGGATGCCATACTTGCTCTCCTTAGAGGCCTAGGCTCTCCCTTCTCCCTCCCATGAAATCACAAACATTTGCTGCTCTAGGATGCCATACTTGCTCTTCTTAGTGGGCCAGACATTCCAGAGCTATGCTGGAATACACACACAGGCACACACAAACACACCCACCCCAGAAGTGTCTCCCCTCCCCATTATTTGTTTTCAGAGGGTAAGTCATCTGTGTATGAAATTTGGTTGAAATTGGCCAAGGCTGGAACATACATACATACATACATACACACACACACACACACACACACACATACACAGAGAGAGAGAGAGAGAGAGAGAGAGAGAAAAGAAAATATAAAATAATACGTTAATTAAAGTAAAATTTCATTGAAAAGGTTTCCCCCATATCTCTCCTCACTTGGCCTGAGTTCCATTTGTGAGATAACCTGTCGATTGATTTACCCACTATTTTCTACCCTATCCACAATCTCTCACATTAATGGATAATAGTGTAACTGCTCATAATCTTTGAAATTGAGACAAGAGTGTGTGTTTATTAACACAAAGATAACAGCTGGAAAGAAATGGGGGGGAAGAGACAGGTCAATAATTTAATAAAATAATTACTGTTGGCAACATTATTTGGTATGTGTCATGCCCCTGTCAGAGTCTGAATCTGCAGGGGAAGATGAGCTGGAACAAGAGCCAACAGAGGTTGAGAGGAAAGCTCCGTTGGCCTTGGAGAAAACTGGGGAAGGGCAGAATCAAAAGCAAGGCTTTTCAGGATTAGAAAGGCAGACAGGGAGAGTAGGAGAGACAGAGTTCAGGTGAAGAGCAAGGACCAGCTCTCCTGATCCTAGAGCATGGAGAGAAGAGAGAAAGCAAGACCAACGCAGACTGAGCTGGCTACAAGAGGGGAGAGTGTCCAGCCTCCCTTCACAAGGCACATCTGGGGACTGAGATGTAAGGAGGTGCCAGGGGGAGGAGCATTTGTTGAGAACAAGCATTGAATCTGTGGAGCCTTGTGTGTACTTGCTGATGCCTGGAGATTACTGTACTCTAACTTGTGGAGCTTGCCCAGTTTGCCTGCAAACTTCTTGCTTTGGTTACTTTTTGGCTAACCTGGTTTATTGGACTTCTTGCTCTGGTTACTGTTTGGATAACCTGGCTTACTGGACTACTTGCAGCCAGAGGCTACTGAAGGTACATGTGAGAGCTTTGCTCCAGGACTTGTAGTAAAAATTGAGACGTTTGTGGGCAAAGTTGGAGCAATAAAAGGGAGTTAGACTTGTTCTCTGGCTGTGTGGCTTTTGTGCCACATCCTGGGTCATCACAGGTATCTATGTATTATGTATTTTTTACATAAATTAATATTGCTTGTATGGAATACTGCTATGTATCACAAAGATAGAATGAAGAGAATAGCAGTGAAACGTTAGAGGGCATCAATCACTCCAGTGAAATTTCATGTTTGGATTCCCTGGCAAGTTAATAAATAAGTAACTACTAGGGAAAAAAGCAGGCTAGAACCCAATGGAGCTATGGCTGTAATGATCAGGGAAGAAAATGATCCATAGGAAATAAGTCTAGCTATGAGAGGTGAACCGGGAATCAACTGATATTTTGATATCTCAGACTTTCTGGATGTCTAGATCTATATTTAGCTTTTCCAGATCTGCAATTAATCACATCTAGTTTTTATATTTTTGACTTCAGCATTTACATCCCTGCTAATAAAAATTAGACTCCAAGACAGGAAGTGCAAAGTAGATGAATAACATACCATTCCTGTGAAATTACTGCATAATTTTAAGAGAGATTCCACAGTCTTTTGGTTCTCCACAAACGTTTGATCTTTGTAATCAAATCGATTGCCGAAGACGACTGCGCAGATTACATTAGAAACAGCACTTGTACATATTCTTTTTGGTTCAAAAGGCTGCCCTGCAAGAAAGGTCATAAGTATTTATGAGTGGGATCAGAAAATGTATCACTTTCTCTCCACAAATCTCATTACAAACCTAGAATTTAAAAAAAAATCACATTATCTAAATCCTCCATGATCTTTCTAGAATGATGTGGTCCAGATAGGAAAATACTCTGTAATCAATTAAACATATGTTAAAATATATGAAAATCTATATAATCCTAAAACTCTTGTGTCTGTAACTTCAGCAGGATGAAATGGTGTATCATAGGCAAATTGCTTTCATCTGAGATACCTTAAGTGGGCTAATCTAGAATGGCAGGACCCATTACTCCTGTGGCAATAAAATTAGGAAAGTTCTTGCCATTTCAGCAATGCTGTACTGCCACCACCTCTGTGCTGCTACGATCACATGATCCTCATTTACAACATTTCCTGATACTTTCTCTCAGGTCAACGGGGAAGCCTGGGAAGTTTGCAGGCAGAAAATTAAGGGTGCTGCTTTGAAACTCATCAAATTTGGTACTCAACATATTTTGATGTGGAAATTTTGTCCTGGTACTCATCATTTGTTTGGTACTCAACACACAAGCTACAATTTGTCAGTATCAGTTTGCCTTGTGACTCACTACCAATGTTCCCTCTAACTTTTTTTCCAGTGTGTACGGAAAAGTATAGTGTTTGAGAGGCACATTTTCATGCCTGAGCATCTGAAATTTTTTCACAGATGTCACCCAAGACAACAACAAAATCAGTGTTATTTGAAAATCAATTCTACCATGTAAATATCCATTAAGGAATCTCCCTATACAGGTAGTCCTCAATCTACGACCAGAATTGAGCTAAAAGTTCCTATTGCTAAGTGAGACATTTGTTAAGTGAGTTTTGCTCCATTTTACCACCTTTCTTGCTACATACAGTTAAGTGAATCAGTAACCTGGTTGTTAAGTCAATCTGACTCTCCTACCGACTTTGCTTGGCAGAAAGTTGCAAAAGGTGACCCCAGGACACTGCAACCATCATAAATATGAGACAGTTGCCAAAGATCCAAATTTTGATCATGTGGCCATGGGAATGTTGCAATGATCATAACTGTGAAGAACAGCTGCAAGTCACTTTTTTCAGTGCTGATGTAACTTCAGTCATTAAGTGAACTGTTGTAAGTTGAGAACTACTTGTATTCAAGTTCATAGATGACTCTCTATGGGAAAAGGATCAAAACTTCCCTCTAGCCACATTTTCCATACTATGAATTACTTTATATGCTTTATACTTTCCCTCTTACTATCCAATAGTCTGCAGTGATATTAGCAAGTTATGAATAAATTACCAATTGATGTAGATTAGCAATCTACATCAATAGATGACTCTCTATGGGAAAAGGATCAAAACTTCCCTCTAGCCACATTTTCCATACTATGAATTACTTTATATGCTTTATACTTTCCCTCTTACTATCCAATAGTCTGCAGTGATATTAGCAAGTTATGAATAAATTACCAATTGATGTAGATTAGCAATCTACATCAATAGATGACTCTCTATGGGAAAAGGATCAAAACTTCCCTCTATCCACATTTTCCATACTATGAATTATATGCTTTATACTTTCCCCCTTACTATCCAATAGTTTGCAGTGATATTAGCAAGTTATGAATAAATTACCAATTGATGTAGATT